GACTTAGGTCAAGTCCAGTACTGCCCCTACAAACTCTATCCTCTGGATGGGGGACAGAGTTGATTTTGCTTCGTTCAGAAGGAGACCCAGGTTGTCGAAGGTGGCTCTGATGAATCTGACCTGAGCCTCCACTTGGGTCTTGGAGAGGCCCTTGATCAGACAGTTGTCAAGGTATGGAAACACCTGTACCTGGTGCTTGCGCAAGAATGCAGAGATGACTGCTATGCACTTGGTGAAAACTCGAGGTGCTGCTGACAGGCCAAATGGAAAGACTGTAAACTGGTAGTGGGTACCATTCACCACACACCTTAGGTACTTTCTGTGGGGCTAGGTGATTATGATATAGAAATATGCATCCTTCGAGTCAAGGGGAGCATACAAGTCTGCTGGATCCAGTCATGATTGAGGCCAAAGAGACTATGCAGAACTTGAGTTTCTTCATGAACTTGTTGAGTTCTCACAGGTCCAAGATAGGCCTGAGACTGCCTTTGGTTTTCAGTATAAGGAAATACTGGGAATAAAAACCCTCACCCCAAGTGCTCCTGAGGAATCTCCTCTAGTGCCCCTAGAGATAGGAGCAACCGCACTTCCTGGACAAGGAGCTGCTTGTGAGAAGGGTCCCTGAAGAGGGACAGGGAAGGGGGATGGAAGGGTGCGAGGGCACAGAATTGGATGGAGTATCCCCTCTCTAACGTGTGGAGCACCCAACAGTCTGAGGTGATACGGGACCATGCACGGTTGAAAGGGGATAGTAGAGATGAGAAGGTAAGGCGGGGTGGATCCAGTTGGGGATCTGGTGCGCCGTCCTCGTCTGCACCTTCAAAAGGACTGTTTTGGCCCAGAGGGTGGTTTAGATTGGTCAGAGTTCTGACCTGAGGACGGGTGCAGTCGCCTTCTGCCGGTCCTGTTCCTCCTCCATGAGCCGTCCTGACGATTCTGCAGCTGGTAGAACCGTGGAGGAGGTTGTGGCCTAAAATGTTTACGCTGTCTAGCCAGAGAATGGAGGCCCAACGATTTGAGAGTGGCTCTTGAATCCTTCAGGCTCTGCAGCCTTTTATCCGTCTTTTCAGAAAATAGAGCCGGACCCTCGAAGGGGAGGTCCTGAATCATTTGTTGGAGCTCATATGGCAAGCCTGAGACTTGGAGCCCCTCCTCACAGCTATGCCTGTGGCCATCACAGGAGTAGCTGCATCCGCTGCATCCAGTGCAGCTTGTAGTGAAGCCCTGGAAATGAGCTTCCTTTCCTCCACAAGAGCTGAAAATCGGCGCAGGAGTCCTACAGCAATAGCTCCACAAAACTAGCCATTGCCCTGCATGTGTTGAAGCAGTACCTGCTGACAATGGCCTGCTGATTTGAAATGCGGAGCTGTAGGCCTCCAGTGGAGTAGACCTTTCTCCCATAAAGGTCAAGCCTTTTCGCCTCCTGATTCTTCGGGGAGGGTCCCTGGAAGCCCTGATGCTCACGTTGGTTGGCAGCTTTGACCACGAGAGAGTCAGGTGTGGGATGTGTGTATAAGTGCTCGTAACGCTTGGATGGCACAAAAAGTAGCGTCTTTCATTGTGGTTAGCTGTAGGGGGCAAAAAGGTCTGCCACAGAGGTTTTGTGGTGTCAGAGATCATAGAATCATAGAATAACAGAGTTGGAAGGGACCTCTGGAGGCCATCTAGTCCAACCCCCTGCCCAGAGCAGGACCAATCCCAACTAAATCATCCCAGCCAGGGCTTTGTCAAGCCTGACCGTAAAAACTTCTAAGGAAGGGGATTCCACCACCTCTCTAGGTAACGCATTCCAGTACTTCACCACCCTCCTAGTGAAAAAGTTTTTCCTAATATCCAACCTAAACCTCCCCCACTGCAACTTGAGACCATTACTCCTTGTCCTGTCATCTGCTATCACTGAGAATAGTCTAGATCCATCCTCTTTGGATCCACCTTTCAGGTAGTTAAAAGCAGCTATGAAATCCCCCCCCCATTCTTCTCTTCCGTAGACTAAACAATCCCAGTTCCCTCAGCCTCTCCTCATAACTCATGTGTTCCAGTCCCCTAATAATTTTTGTTGCCCTTCGCTGGAGGGCAATGCGAGCAGGTCTAGAGGGGGCGAGGTCGTCCATCATTGGATCAGCATCTCCACTACCTCCTCTGCCTGAATGCCCAGGCCCTGGGAAACCCTTCGCAACAATTGCTGCAGAACCCTGTTGTCCTCTAAGGCTGGGGCTGTCGCCGTGCCCGCCAATGCCTCATCTGGCGAGGATGAGGAAGAGACCCCCATGAGGGGTGACTGATCCCTTTCTTCTGCACCCAAGGGGTTCCGCAGCACCCGGGTTTCTTGGCCCAGTGCCAACACAGATGGTGTCGCACCCCTCAGTGTAGGGGCTGCATATATTGACACAGGCACCTGGGCCCAGTTGCACCAGAGGCATCAAAATGATAGTGCAGGGTAGTAATGGGCCTACCCACAACCCTGCCAGTGCTGGCGGTGCTGGCAGGGGTACAAATGAGGCTGAGGCCACTGACGTCTCCCTGGAATGAAACCCTTGGCTTTGATGAAAAGCCCAAGGAGTCCAAAAGGGCCATTGCGCTGAGGTCTGCCATTGGGGTGGGCCACGGTACCAGGACATGGACTGTCTGCTCCTATTCCTCCAGGACCAATAGGAGTCTGACTCAGACTCCGAGGTGTCTGAAAACAATGACTTTGGGGGAGCAGCACTTCTAGACACCAAGCTTTCGTGCTGAGGGCTCGGGGATCAGTATGGCTACTGAATGTGCTCTGGTGCCAGGAGTGGCACACCGGGGTCGGAGATTGGTGGGCCATCATAGCGGGCTTTCCCCTTGAAGGAGCCCGGGGAATGACTGGTGCTGATGACCTGTCCCATCTGGGAGGAGAGAATAGTGCTGAGAGGTGAAGCAGTTCTTGGGCAGCCTCAAACGCCTCAGGTGTCGAAGGAAGGTGCCGCTCATGGCTCGGCGAGTGAGGAGGGTCCGGACTCAACCGCCCTTCCACGTGGGCAGGACTTGGCGCGATCATCACTGGTGGAGCAGCACTAGTGTGGCCCGACACGATTCTCACAGCAGCAGGCTCCTTAGGCCTAGTAGGGAGAGAGCCACCCTGCTCCGGCCTCTTCTTTTGCAGCACCAACGACTGCGAACAGTGACTGCATGCGGCATGTGAGCCGTGAGTGGAGCCAGGATGGTGCCATGAGTCCTTATCCTTACCCAGCACCGGTACTCGTGCTGACGATGCTGAAGTGCTCTGCACTGAGGAGGAGGTACTCAGTGCAGGGTCCATCGACCCAGGGTCGGACATGGGGAAGAGTGCTGCCTCCATCAACAGGACCTTCAGGTGCTGCTCTCTATCTTTTAAAGTCCTGGGCCAAAAGGTCTTACAAATGGCACGACAATCCTTCTGATGGTCCTCTCCTAAACACTTTAGGCACGAGGTGAGGATTGCTTCTGGACATACACTTGCCGCAGGCTTTGAAGCCAGAGACCCTGGCATGTCCCGGCGTCGGGAGAGCAGAGAAGCGGATCCCCCCCCACCCCCAAGGAAACTTATCTAACACTAACAAAATACTAAATACTATCTATTAACAAACAATGGAAAACTAATGGAGAACAATGTAAGAAACTGCTAAATGCGCCTGTTGAGACAAGAGCACAGGGAAGTTCCAGCTGTCACTGGCTGTAAGAAGGAACTGATAGGTTGGCGGGTCAACAGGACTCTATATTGAGCACCATGAAGGCAAGAATCCAAGGGGCGCCCAGGCCAACCTGACAGATGCTGCTAGGGGAAAAATCTTCTGACTACTGTGCATGTGTGCACGCACACACCTGATTGGAATCAACATGAACAAGCACTCGAACAAGAACTAGGAGTGACATGGTGCTGCCACATTCTGTGTAACTTTATGCGAATTACTTAACCTATACCTCAGTTTCCCTGTCTGTAAAATGGAGATAATACTCACAGGGGTACTGAGAAGCTAAGTTCTTGAATGAATGTGCACTGCTCAGATACTACAGTGGTGAGTAACATAGAAAAGCTAATGTATAAATAAATGAAATTAAGCAGTGACCTGGGCCCAATTCCCAGCTGAGTCACAGACTTCCTCTGTGTACTTGGGCACAGCAGTTAGCCTCTCTCATTTCTGCATCTGTAATATGGGGATAACACTTATTTTTGCCCATGCTCTGTCTTGTCTACGTAGACTGTAAGGTCTTCACAGCAAGGAGTATGTTTTACCATGTGTTTACACCGGCTTAGCACAATGGGACCTTAATGTCAGTTGAGATCTCCAAGCACTTCTACAATACAAACAATAATTATTACACCAGTGCTCCATAGCCTGTACTGGTTGCATTACGATTTTTGGATGGAATTTCAGGTGTTGGCTTTCTCCTATGAAGTCCTAACTGATTTGGGCCTATATACCCAAGAAACCACCTCTCTTCCTGTTTAAACTTACCATATTTGCACTCTCCACTCCCAGGTCTAAAAGAGAGGTTTCAGGCTGTTTTACATAAAGGGTCCTCAACTTTGAAATTCACTCCCTTGTTTGGTCCACAATAGCCTAAATTTGCTGACCTTCAATGACGCTCATTTACTTTGGTGTGGTGGGCATTAGGGAGAAATGGAAGCGTATTGTATACCTGATTCATTCATTTTTTTCTATTTTGTGAGTAAGTGTTGGTTGGGAAGGACCAGGCGCCTCGCAGGACACACAAGAAGGCAAAGTCCCTGCCTCAAAGGGTTTACAATATAATATTAAATGTGATATAATGAACAAAGGCAACAAACAGTAAGGAGAGAAAAGGGTGAGGATGCACATTCACTGCATCAGCAAGTTTATGAGGTTACTCAGTTTACTCATGTACATATATTGGATTAATATTATATGTTTTAGAATTATCGTCAGCATTTATAGTTTTAGAAAGACATATTTCTATCTATTTAAAGTACTTTTCTCATACGGCCTATTATACGATGGCACAACTTTACTCACCTCAACATACGAAATGGGAAATATCCCTATCTTGTCAGCCAGCATTCCTTCAGCCCAGTTTTCATCTACTCGGCGAATCACAGTCAGCACATCATCCTGTACAAACATGAAGTAATTATGTCTCCCAGCTCAAATTAAGCTATTCATGTAATTTCTCTCCAAAACACAAGCATCATCAGACAAAGGGGTACATGAAGAAGAATTCCATAGCAGGAGCTTCATTTTCACAATAGGAACCTGCAGTTTTTGGAATTAAAATGATTTCCAGTAGAGCTTCCTCATCTTGGTCAAGTCCTGCACAGCAGCCCAAGAACTAATCTCAGTCAGTTATTTGGGTTTCTCCTGAGCAACAGACTGCCTGCTGTGCCAACTGTAGTGTATTCCATCAACCCCTAATTGAGTCTCAAACTCTCCTTACTTATAAGCTAGCTTGTTCCCCTGTGTTCCCAGCTGTTGCTTTTCTCCTCATGTAAGAACATTAGCAAACTTAGAAAGCATAACTGATATCATCTCCTTTGAAATACAGAATTTTAGTTTTAAGCATGCTTGCAAAGAAGCTATTATTTGCTCAATAAATTTATTTTGCCCTAGAATCATCATTAACTTTTATTTCATTGAAAAACTCAGAAATGCTAAGAAACACTTGCACTGATATAAAATTGAAGATTACAAACAATGCATACATTGCACACACTACTTAAAAATCAAAGCTGCAATGCAATATAATAACTAGGCTGATTATCCTTAGGAGCACTAACATTTTGTTCAGTAAAAGTTATTTTCTGTTCACATGTAGTTGTACCGGTCTCGTAAGAGGGAGAACTGAATATTTAAGGCCTCCCTCTTGTATAATTTCAGGTGACCTTTCCATTTTTAATAGCTGAGGGCTGTAAAGACATCTAACTAGTTCACAAGTCTGATCTTGTAACATTTTTTGTGCAGTCTGGAAAAATTAACGTACTATAAATTTGTAGGCAACTGAAAAAAAACAGCCCCAAGCTATGGTTAAGTGTCTTTTAAGATTACTCTTCATAATCTTAGTACTCCTATTAAAACTTCACGTTGTTTCATGCCTTCTAAGACAGAAAAATAACTCAAATAGGAACAAAACAAAAGGAATTGACTCTTTTCCAAAAGGCAATTTTTATTCTTATGTAGTGACACAAAGCTCACAGTTAGTATTAAAAATGCCCTGGATTAAATGAAAACTTGACAATTAGTATGAACTCTGACAACTAAAAATAAGTGAAAGTTCCCTCTGGACTGGGAATGCTTTAAATTCACAATTCAGACTCTCTCAAATTCAGAATGCATATAAAAGCAGTTAAAAAAACTGCACTTTCAATTTCAGTGGTGAAATCCTCAGAGGAGAACAGTGTCTGTGGTTTAAGGGAGGAAAAGAAGTGGTATATATTGAAGAAATGCCCTGTGAACTTACATATCCTTGGCTTCTTAACATATCAGAGCTAGGGAGAACATATAGGCAAGACTTTTAGAACAGAAACAATGTAAAATATTCTAAGTCAATGAATAATTATTCAAAGAAAATCCTTTCTTTTTTAAAAGTCGTTTCTACATGTTTTTACCTTTGAAAATGGCAAACAGTCTTTGTCTGCTTCCTTGTCTTTCACTTCAAAGTCATAAAGTGCTTTGCACTGAGGCGGAGGTTGAGGTAAAGGTTTAATAATCTGAACGAAGTTGGTAGGAAAAAAGCCATGGACACCACTGACTTCTCCGTGGTACCAATTTTCATCCACTTGCCGACGTAAAATGATGATGTCACCCTTATTGAATTTAAGATCTCCAGGTTCTTTTCCCTCATAGGTATATAATGCTTTGGCACACGGTAACTGAGGTATAGCCTAAAAAAGAAAAATACTAAAATTAGTATTTTATCTGTAAATAGGTGTGATAATGCTGTCCAAACCTTTGAAAAGTGTTTTGAGATTGATAGATAAAAAGAATTATATAATAAAGCACAATTTATTATCTACAATAAAACCAGGGCCAATTTTTACACTACTGATTCTAACAGAATTTCAATATGCTAAGTTAAAGTGTTAAATGTTCTAGTATAATGAGTTTGAGGGAAAAATACAACAACATATCCCTCACCAAAAAGCGTAGTTAATACACAAATAATTTTTTTTTGCAAGAATTCAGCACTAAAGCAGCTTGCAGTGAATCAGAGTCATTAACAGCCAGTACTCTGAAGATTAGAAATAATAATGAGGTTTCAAAGACTACAAGAAACATAATTTGGCCAGAATTTTACGAAAATAAATAAAGCAAGTATTTTTGTTTGCAGGCAACTAATGTGGATCTGTCCAGCACTAAAGCAGAACATTAGATTTTTTACCGTGCAGCTGGATTTTCTTCCTCTTCTCTTGGATGAACTCACACAGCAATTAGGAGTTTGATATGTATTCATTCTATATATTAAGAGTTTTTAAAAGTATTATTTTGTAACAGGACACTTTTTTCAGGGCAAAATCCATTTGAACAGACAAAATCACAAATTCACCCACATGCATAGTATAATAAAGGATGATATTTCAGACTTTGCTGTATTTCAGCATAATTGGGTTAATGCAAAAAAATGTGGAAAGCCTGCATGCACTTATCTGAAAACTCTGTCACTAACCTGATGATAATCTTCCACACTTAAGCCACTCCAAAATCTTTTTGAATTTAATAGAATCATAGAAATGAAGGGCTGCAAGGGGCCTTGAAAGGTCATCTAATTCTTTCCACTGCACTGAGGGAGGACCCCGCAGACCTAGACCTGACAGGTGTTTGTTAACCTGTTCTTAAAAACCTCCAATGATGGGGATACCACAACTTCCCTTGATAACCCAGGCCAGAGCTTAACTACTCTTCTAGTTAGAAATCTTTTTCTAATATCTAACCTATATCTCCCTTGCTGTAGACTAAGTCCATTACTTCTTGTTCTATCATCAGTGAACCTGATAACAATTAATCACCTCTTTATAACAGCCCTTAACATATCTGAAGACTTATCAGGTTCCCACCCAGTCTTCTTTTCTCAAGACTAAACATGCCCAGTTTTTTTTACCTTTCCTCATAGGTCAGGTTTTTTCCAACTTTTCCATTGTTGTTGCTCTCCTCTGGACCCTCTCTGACCTGTCCACATCCTTCTTAAAGTATGGAGCCCAAAACTGAACACAGTACTTCAGCCGAGGCCTGACCAATGCTGAGTAGATGCAAGAATGACCTCCCCATGTCTTAGATATAGCACTTTAATACACTCCAGAATTATATTAGCCTTTTTCACATTGTTGACTCCTACTCAATTTGTGATTCAGTATAATCCCCAAATCCGTTTTTAGAGCTTTGGACCTCTTCTCACTATAAGTATGTGAACTTGGGGGATGAAATTACATATTTAGCTTTTGTTTTCAGCTCTCTCCCATTTTTTTACATCAGTTTTCCCTCTCTTACTGAGAAACTCTTAAGACAGGTGACCACTCTGTCACCATTCGTTGGATGATTTATGTAACATTACCTCACCTTGAGAGCCATCCATTGATACACTGTGCACAGAAGAAATATTGTCACTTAACAGAGGCATTCCCTGATATAACATACAGCTTCATAACATCAATCAGAATTCATAAGTTGCACATGGACAACTGCCCCAAATCATTATAACCACCATATTACAATTAAACAGAAACACAAAACCAAAAACACCACCACACCCACCGTGTCCAAAATACACCCCAAATAAATTCACTGAGATGCAATATTTAGAAACTCAGAAGAAAGCATTCTTGTATAGATCTTTCAAGAAATCTGTACACACCTAAACTGCAAAAAAAGTTAATTTATGATAAATTAATTTACTATATTAAGGTTAATGCATATTCTTTGTACTCAGGTGGTTTGATCCAAGTATTAGTTTTCTCACTACTAGTAATCACTGAAGAGTGTTTCTAAAATTCAAGTGGCAAATACTCCTCTCCTCCCCTCTCTCTCCCCCCTCTGCCCTCCCACTCAACAGTGATTGTGATGAAATTGTGTCTTGGTAATTGCAACTGACTCATTAATTTAACATTATTTAATTGATTGCTCAGGATATTGGAACTACAAATCATATACTATAGAGTGTATCATAAAGGCTAATGCAAATTAATCTGCAATCAAACATCTGGCTGTGTTTTTGTATGATGTTCCTTTTCAATGAAACTCAAAGACTTAGTGTGCCAGTTTGTATGTCAAGTTTCTCAAAAGGAGATTTCCCACATTGGATAAAATGGATTCTACTCTATAATTTCAAAAAGAACAAAGTTCAATGAACTAAGTTCTTGTTCTCACTTAGACAGCCAATGATTAAGGATAAATGGTTAAACGACTCGGAAGAGTAATAAAGCAAATGCCTTTTCCTTCTGTTACATCTGAAGGATAAAGTCAGAACAATTGGTTTTGATTGCACAGCACTATTCCTTTGAGTGTAATATATCAACGGCCCACCAGGGCACTGTCTCCACATTCCTCTCATCTGGATGATCTGAGACCCAAGTCACGGCTGAAGCCTTTTTGGCCTTTGCCTTTAACAACCTTTACCAACTGCTGCCTTCCCTCTAAACTCTCAGAGGTTGTTCATCAAGCTACAGAGCTCTGAAGATCTGCTGAGCCAGAGTTTACATTTCACTCTGAGTCTTTCACTTGACTAAACATGAAAGGAGGGCTAAAGAAGAAAAATCTCTGCCATCTACCCGTATGTTTTCAGCTGCCATTTACTCCGACCAGCTACAACAATGAAAATAGTTTTAAATGCATTTTAATTTTTTTTTAAAGATACTGTACCTAATACAGGTTTCTTACGGTTATTGCCTCAGGTTTTTTTTTAAAATAACAATATCTGAATTTCTATGCTATAGTTTATATTATACAAACTATTTTAATTATTTTTAACCAAGACAGTAAAATGGACATTACATGTACCCAAGCCCTTAAAGCAAAGGAAAAAAAATGTAATTAAGGCAATACATAACAAATACAAACAGCAACTTTACAACATCATAAAAAGACTTCTATCATATGCTATTTGCATTTGTTATGTATTGTCTGAGAGAGAGAGAGAGAGAGAGAGAGAGAGAGATTTAAGTATAAAATGTTGAATAGTAAAACCTCTCTGGCAGAGGCTCCCTCTCCAACCTCATCTATTTTGTCTATAGAAACGACAGGTTCACAAATTTTCCACTTTTATATTTTTCCCCATCTTTCCTAAGTCACCTTATCTTTACCTTTATTCTTAGCTACCATTTTAAAATTGATAACTGGCAATTTTATGTTCTTTTCATAACCTTAAAGCAGGCTATACTCAAAACTTTGTCAATACAATAATGTCAATTAGAGGTGTGATTTTTATGGCATTTCTGTATGGGCAAAATCCCCAGTGTAGGTACAGTTATAACAATATAAAACTGGTTTTGCCAGTATAGATTGTTTCACTTGGGGAAGCTGAGTAAGCTGTACTGGCAAAAGCAGTATTTTTCTGGTATAAGTTGTGTCTCCAGTAGGTTTTGCCAGTATTGCTATACCAATAGAGCTGTGCCAGCAAACCTTTTCTAGCATAGACCTGGCCTTAGTGACTCCTTCCTATTCACACTATCTTGCTCAGGTAAACCTGAAACTTTGCCTCTAGCTCCTTCAACAAAACGCCTGACAAACAGTAGTGCTTTTCTTGAGCATCCTTACTACATCAGTCTTTTTTATCTACTTCTGTTCTTGACTCAGATCTTCCACTTGCCTCCTCTTTCCATAACCTTGGACTGATAATTGACTTTAAAACTTTTTGCTTCCCCATTTCCTGTATGTGCAAGTGTGCCTATCACTATCTCAGCAACTTAATACATTATTAATCAACACCTCCGATAACTGACCGACGTAAGGTACCCTTCTCTGTGACTATTGTATATCCTTTCTCTCTGATCACCTCAAGTTCCCACAATTAATTCAGCAGCATATACAAAATATTGTTGTTTGCTTTTCACATATACAAAATTTGACCACTCCACCCACAACCTTAGACAACTGCACTGGTTTCCCATTTTATGATCTGGTTCAACATTTCCATCTTAATATTTAAGTCTCTCCATAAATTTCCTTTATCACCTCATTTCTCACTATATTCCTTGCACTTGTCTGGCCTAGCCTCTGCCCTTTTCTAGACTGTTCACTCTGCATGAAGAGACTTCTCTTTTTTAGTTCTAGCCCTTTGGAACAGCTATCATGTATCTCTTTACCTCAGCTCTAGCATCTCATTTCCAATCTCAGCTTAAAACCGAGCTGATCTCCCAAATTTATAGCTCAGTTTCTCTGTCTCCATTATTGCTCTTTCTGTAACTGTATTTAGCTCAAGTATTTTGTGATTCAGAGATATGAAAACATTAGAAAAATAGGGACTTTTTAAAAGGAAGTTATCCACATTTATACATAGCATCACTGAGTTTAGGCTAGAAAGGACCATCAGGTTATCTAGTCTGACCTCCTGTATATCACAGGCCACCAATACCCACACACTAAAACCAACAACTAAAATGAGACTAAAATATTACAGCCCACAGGAGACTAGATTAGTATGTGCCACAGGCAGAGAATAGGAGAGAGTGAGATGCACCAGTGCCCACGGTCCCCACAATGGCAGGGAAATGATTAAGGAAGATATGCCCTAAGGACCCTGGCAAGTGACCTGCACCCACACGATGCACACGAAGGCAAAAAAACAAACAAACAAACCCCCCACCCCCGCAAGGTCACTGACAATCTCATCTGGGGGAAATTTCTTCCTGACTCCAAATATGGCGATCACAGTTAGACCCTGAGCATGTTAGTA